CACGGTCCTGTTAACGGATTGATACTTAAATAACATCATGATTATGGTCTGCAGATATGGAACTACTTCTCGTACCTGATTGACGTCAATCCCGGGCTCGATCGTATTTGTGATCGAGGGTATCAGTGGTGTTTACACTTCACCCATGTCAATAGCTTGCACGATGTCCAGAGTGGCCGAGTTAAGGACACGATAACACCCAGCGCGATTCTGACATTCAGTTGATTTAGGAACAGTCCAGCATGCCAATGTAAGAGTCATACCTACGCCAGGAAGTCCGAGGCGCTGCGATAGTCATAATACAGCTTGCTTAGAGTGCCAACCGTAATTTATCAATATTAAGTCACCCACCAGTCGGCCAACTTCACAGGTTCGAACTGAAGTTCGCTCCAGCACGGTGAATAAACATTTGCGCTAAAGGTCTAATGCGAGCTGGTAACTTCTCCGCAGAATTCACTATCCGTGATGTAATTCCTATGTATGTGATGGTGTAGCCATGACCGACAAACCGTACAGAAGCACGGGTGGGTTGGGGAAAGGGAGCAAAAAGTTGATTATTCCGCTAGAGAAGGCGAGTTTGAGAGCTGCCGTTCCGATGGATATAAATACAGGCCCCAAAGAGGGGGTACGTTGTATCAATATAGTCCGGGAGACGACGGCACCAGTTTCGGATGACGGATACGGAGAGACGCCATCGCGCTTCACGGCAGCACTGAGAGTGCTTCGGCATAGACAGAGACAGCATCTATAATGTCGTTTCGTCAATTCGTGATGCATAGCCGGGGACTAAAAAAATCACGTACCACAGGATGGCATCGCCTGAACAGAGCTTATTTGTTGACCTTGACGGTGATGCAGACATGGCGGTTTAAAGAAACTAGCGCTGGTATCTGTATACGGCGTGTCGGAAATGTTCACAAACAGTAGCTACATCTCTGAAGGTACCCCATCCCGGCTGAAGGATGGAAGGAGACACCTTGTTGGATGCATGTCGTATTCCTGTATGACCTTTCCAAGTCACAACACGGTGTAGGTAGATGTCGGCGAAGCAAAGGAGGATGTTACTGTCCGAAGAATAGACAGATTAGATGAGCTGCGGCCACGAGGTTGAGAAAGGAAACGAAGTTAATCGACGCAGGTATTCTGGTCTATCCAGTTAGCAGGCTGTCTCCCCACGACATTCTCCGATGCCGGGGTCATCAACACGACTTTGTGTTCCATCTAGCCTGTTCTCAGTCCAGGAATTGCTTCGATGAAGAACTTCTGGGATATCTTGTTCTTGATACTACGCAGCTGTGCTATGCTGTGTGTATGTCAATATGTTTCTGCAACACGAGAGAAGAGTAACTCACTTTAGAAGAGGGAACAAACCGTGATTAAATGCTCTGACCACCTGCGGAATATGCTACAGCTTCTGTGCAATTGTCCGCAGCGATGTTTGTGGGGTGTTCTGATAGAAGAATAAACTTTATTTAATCATGTTTGAATCTCGGAGCAGCTCGGAGCGCGGGCATCCGAGTCCGGTTATCATCGGTCCGGGTATCCCGAAACCAAACTGGACACGATCTCCGAGGTCGGCATTTTTGAAAACTGGCATCTTCCTGGTTTTGCGTACTGCTGTCATTATACACCACGGTTACCCAAGAGCTACCCGGTCAAGGATTTTCTCTCTCAGATTTCTGCCATCGGCCCAGCCCACCCGCGATACCCGCGAAAGTGCGAAAAAGAATGAGACTGTTGTGGTACCTTCGATCTACCCTGGACCTTACAGTATTCGAGGATGAGCACCGCTAAAACCGTAAGATTGCTTTCTGGCCTTCTCGGCTGAAATATTAACCAGGTGGAGTTGGGTGCGTGCCAATTGAATCTCGGTTGCGCTGTGCGATACGAAGATGAGAGCAGTATCCGCACAATGCCACGGGAAGTAAGCAGGACTCTTGCGCTCTTCTCAGTCCAGCAATCTCCTCTCAAAGTTGTTGTCTATCTGGGTGTGTGCTACCACTGCTACTTTTTTCGGTCGCGGGCTTAGCCGTGCGTTCCTTCCCATACTTTACCGCCCGACGTCAAGACAGCTAACTTCTCTTTCTATAGATGACTAGTTAACAAACAAAAATAGTGGCAGAAAATTCTCTGGAACCCGGGGATTAATTTCGTTGTCGGATGACAAGCCATTTCCGTGTATAGCCCTTATGATGAGATATCTTTGTTCATCCTTCTAAATCAACTGGGCGGTACCTGCTGTTCCTGATACAGCACTTTCCACGACGGACATGGATTAATTACCCAGATCCGGGTCACGAAACACACAAGAGAGATAGAGCAGTCGATTCCGGCCAGACGGCTCTGATTCGGAGGAAGAATTGTCAATCGATCTGTTATGTTTCTCTGATTCCTCTCGACAAGAGATAACTTCATGGTCAGAAAGAAACTTTGCCAAGTTTTCTGTTCAGCACCCAGTGAGTTTTATTCTGATTTGACTTTTCGGGGAGGCACAAAACCTTCCAACAGGTTTTACCACGACCCACTGAACCGAAATCTTTCCCCCTGGTTCTTTTAGGCACACATGGCCAGGTACTCAGGAAAACGCGCGTTGTCACATGGCTTATGTTCTCAGCTATTGATGCCATTCGTATTCCCTGATCTCTGAGCTGTATTTCAAGCTATCCAGCCAAGAGAGTCGATGTACTGGACAATATCGGATCAATAATAACACCCACATTGGCCGTTATAGAGTGTTATAAAGCGTCATCTTGAATATTTGGTGTTAAAACTACAAGCACTTTGAATTGTTAAGTGCGGTTTCTTCCTGTGTCATTTCGGCGGAATGCTTACTGACTCATGGAGTGATGTCTTTGATGGATTCAGGGTCGGAGGTGCGCTCCCTGCTCTTCCGCCATTACGGCTTCCTTTGGCCATGACCAAAGACGTGAGCGGTCTCAACTCCCCATAAATGAATATACTATCGTCCTGGGTTTATAAAGAGGATACCGTCTCTTATGTCCTCCATCTTCTCTCAGCTACTTTCAACCTCGTCTTACAGTTCTATCCATTTGCTCGATACACAGCCAATACGCAATGTGCCGCCGCCGTCAGTGAGTATATCGTCACCTCTACATCTCCCTAGTCTCGATTCATCTCTTCTGCGCAGAGTTAGGAATGTCTACCTCCGATGCGGCCACGCTATCACCCTCGTATGTCCTTTCTACTTGAATGTCCTGACCTTTATTAATTGCCGTGGTTTTAAATTAGCCTGAACAAATCGTACGACGACTACCAGACGAAATTATTTATCACAATCTTTACATCTAATACCTTTCCTAGATTCGATGCGAGGAGGCTAACTGCAGGTTCAGTCTCTTCCATCCTGTGAGGTGCAAGCCACCGCGTTGTCTGCATACCTGTTGGCAATAGTACGTCTCTGTGCTGCCTTACCATAGTCATCTTCGTCTTAACTCAATTTCCCAGCCTTCGCTTTCCGGAGCAGTACTGCACGTCATATATTTCCTAGTTTGTCATGATGCTAACATCTATGATAGCGCCCCACATCAACGGGTATTGCCCCTCCTGTGACCAGGCGATGTAATACTGAGGCTAAGACTACTGAACGAAGATTTCTGTCATGTTTACCACCATTCTACGTAGAGTAACATTGACAGACTCAGATACTAAACCAGTTCCACTCGAGCCTTGTAGTTATTTTGACTTGTAAAGTAGTAGATTTCACGATTTAGAGTTTATTCCAATAAAGTGTTTGATGATCCGTGGTCCCGCGCTGTGTATTTGATGACGATTCACAAGACCCTGATCGACATCGATCAAGGAGTCGATCAGATCGTATCGCACCCGTCTCAGATGAGACACGCACTACTAGTGGAATGACTCAGTAACGCGTCTATCCTGCCGAAAACTTCCTGAAAGATACTCATCCCTTGACATGGGCCCTTATAATTGAACGGGCTTGCAGGCCCGTAAGCCCGACTAGATGTAGAGTTCTACCAAGTAATAATTTTTACTGACTGGCAAGGCTTCACATGACACGAGTCTACCCTTACGAAATACCGTGTTTGATGTATTATGATGTTGTTGTGAATAGCCTAAGCCATGGCCGTACGTACTGCAGTCGAATGCTTTGAACAATGGTTGATTGATATGGTCGACCTAGGTCTTAAGCGCAGTATCTATCATAGCTATGATCGCATCATCCTCAGAACAGGACCAAGGATAGAAAACTAGGACAGCCCATTCAATTTTCAGTTCCGTCTTCACCTCGGCAAACCACATCCTACAACGCGGGGGTCAAGTGGTCCGGATCCCTTGTACTGATAGCCTGAGGGCCGAGATGCTTTGTCTCGACAGTGTGAAAACGAACGTTCAGATCTCAAGAATCAAGTCTTCTGTCAGATTTCTGAATCTTTTGGTAAAAGGTATCCACATCCGAACTTGTGATGCACCCTGTCAGATTCGAACTGAGGTCATTGGCTACAAGGCGCAAATAAACAACTCAGGATACCATTTAGCTACCAGTGGATAATTATATAATGCAGACGAGACAACAATTCCGATTCTTAGCGTGATCGAATCGTTACACTTACAGATAGAGAACAGCTTTTCAAAACGTTTGGATCAGTAAAATACCGCGCCTAACCCGAGTAGCCAAACGTGTTTCATCTGAGTTCGCGGTTCGATGGAGATACCTGACTTGTTGAGGATGCCATTAAGTATCAGTGTGCAACATGCATAGGTAGAATTTGTTACGATCCTTTGTTTCCATGCCTGTCGCTAGACTCGGGTCTGGATACCGCAGGTAAGGGAGAGTGGTACATCGGAGCGGTACAAAGCCACAAGCATGCGAGCACAAGATCCCCTCAGGCAGCACTCGACAGTAGCACGCAAAACAAGCCATATTTTACAACAAGCGGAATCTACTTACAGGAAAGAGGGCACGGTTCTCTATGAAGAAATATTCGGGGTGGAACTGAGTAGTGATTCGACGTTCTCGCCTACAAAATCTTTTCATACGGCTTGAAAATTTCCAGGTACCTTCCCCACCTGCCGTCATTCCAAGTAACGATATCTTTCCATTCCTCACTCTCCTCCCCAACCATTCTCCTCATGAACCACAAATACCCGCAAATCACCGTGTCCGCGAAGCACGGTTCCTTTCCCATAACAAAGTCACCCTCGTTATCCTCAAACCACTTGCTCATTTTCCCAAAATTCTCCTTAGCACTGGCCCGTAGCTTCTCTAGCTCTTCCCCTTTCGGCGCCTCCACCTTGAGAGCCCCGCCCAGCCTAGTTTTGGAGAGATACACTGCCGTCGCATCGTTCATCTTTGCCATTATTCCCGAGATGAAGAATGGCCGGAAGGGACTGAAAATGCCGGTCACTGTATCGGAGAAGACGAGTTGGAGGGTCATGGTCCCGGGGGGAATGAGTACAGGCCCGGAGGATGAGTATGTCTTGTCAAGATAGGCTGCTATGGCGGCAGATTCGGAGACGACAGCACCAGTGGAGTCGTCTTGGATGATCGGGATGGTGTAGAAAGGGGAGACGCCATCGGACTTCGTGCTGGTGGGGGCGGCGCCGATCCTTTTGGCGAGAGCTTCGACGTCGGGTAGTTCGACATAGACAGTCTGGTAGGGCAGATTTTTGAGGTTTAGGGCATACCTAACATTAATCAGTTAGTTTCAGAACATGCCTGTCGCAACGAGAAATATGCGTACCTAGTCCGCCAGGTATTCATACTTCCTGGGGAATCGGCTGCCTTGGTCGGAAGGTCGTAAAGAGCGATCATGTTAGAACTTTATCGAAACTGTAAAACATGCTGTTCAGCTTGGGTTATATACATAAGAGTTCTGGGGAGGCTTACCAAGTGCTAGCATGAATTATCTAAATCGGACGAAAGGTTGTAAAGAGTAATCATGCGAATCTATAACTGTAATGCATTCAGTTTGAGTTGTATACGTACAATATTTCGGCCGAGGCTTACTAAGTAGCTGGCATGAATCATCAAGCGGGTTCGGTCTTTGTCATTTCCACGAAGTTACCGCGGAAATATGCTTCGTGGGGGGCCCTCGTTTTGATATCGGTATCCACGCCGCCCAAGACCGCGAAGGAGAAAGCGCGCATACCGGCTATTCGGATGATATGCATCACATATTGGCTGACTACTCCTCCGCTCTATTGGGGTAAACGCATGAAGTAGGTTTAGAGTAAATTCTGAGTAGATATATAACTAAACTTACGAGTCAGTTTGGCTACGATGTGCAGCGGATTAAAGATATAGGTCGAGAGACGCAGAGGGCGGTCTAGTAGAGTTTGCAAGTGACAGAGCTATATTGATGGTGGTGGGGTAGAAGCAAGTGGCGTGTCGGCGTTTGCCGGGACTCGTCTTTTCCTTCCACCACTATGGCGGTCACAGCGACGCGACCTAGCGATATCAAGACCAATTCTCACGGACACTGCGACGTTATTCTCACATGTCGGCACGTCTATACGAGCAGATATCTATTGTAAAGGACACGAATCACAACAGGTGCGCTATTCTTTTGTCTCCCTAGTTCTCAGCAATAACTCTGCTCACCAAGGGTGTGTAGCGGGATCTAGCATCTTTACAAATACCTAGTCCTCTGCACAACTCGGTATTGGTGCGTTCATACAATTCTAGCTGCATATATGCGTCGTCATTTTCATTATAGAGCCGCTCATTCGGTTTCCGAGCCAACGAAACATCCCTATCGGAGTAGCTATCCACTGAGTTGGACCGAATCATACCAATGTGGTGGGACCCCCTCTCTCTGCTATATCTCAGCCATTGACGCGGATGCTTGAAGCCGGTTCCAGCTGTTGGTCTAACAAGAACGTCGCAGAGCATCGATTCCTGTGGGTCCGTGCCAATGTTTCTAGCATATATGTACCCTAACCTGTCATTTTATAATGCAGAAATCGTTAATACAATCTACTGTAACCGGGAAAGCAACTGGACAGGTATTCTGTTCGGGTGCACCAAACGTTTATGATAGCTGAGACAGGACTGTGCGTTATACTTTCGCGTCCATTCCTCTCGAACCTAATCATGCAGAAGATCTCTCAAAGGGACGTCTTCGCTCCACTGCACTCTCGGCTCCCAATGCTGGTGAATATAGTGTGCTATGGAACCTATCTGATCTGTATAGCGTCGGGTGATCCCAGGCTGTACGTTTACACGCCATGGTTGTCCACGTTCTCAAGCTTATCGTCGCTAAGTAGCTTACCGTTCCCATCCCCATTTAACTATCACCATTATTGGACACCTCAGCACAATCTGCATATACGGTCGTAGCAGCAACTCGAATCAGCCTTGGATGCTAGTCTAGGAGCTTCAAAATATACGAGAGTCATTTTCAATGGCATAACGCTGCCATATTCATATATCTGGTATGTTGTTTGCGCTGCCAGAATTGTTTCGCCAATTAACGCCTCGCAGGATACTAGTGTTTCGTCGGGAAGGAGGGGGTCCGCTCTTCATTGGAATATGTACAATCTGAAGGTGTATTCGACATATCCAGTGCCTATGTAGCAAGTACAGGAAGAATCGTATGGTTACTACTAAAAAAAGCTTACCTGACGCGCCGACGCGTTACTCACGTGATCCTAACGAAAATGTGAAATTCGCTGCGTACCTCCTCTTGCTTCCCTTCCACCACAAGCAACCCACATTCCTATGGCAGCACGTCATCCGTATCCTCCTATGCCATACCCGACCGACCCCTTTGGGATCTACGCCTTCATGGCACGTATCGATGCGCGTCTCGACCGGATAGAGAACCAGATGGAGGCGACCGGCCTCAGCCTAGGGTACCTTGTTACGCGCATAGACGAGATTGAGGAACGCCTAGAGAGCATAGAAGATAACAACCAGGGCATCGAGAACAAAATTATCGATATGGATTCGCGTTTTGACGACATTGATTCAAAATTGGAGGATATTGACATGGAGGCGTTGACAGAGGGAATCGACGGGGTTGTCAGGGAGAGCCTTGAGGAATTAAACTTAGACGCAGTGGAGCGGATGGCTGCTATAGTATGTCCCTATTGCTTCTATTGACGCCATGACCCAGCCCTTACCTGAGATTTTCCAGAACCATAACACGAACATATACCGTGCTATCAGGGATGCGGGGAATCCGGACCTATGGGGAGATATCATCCTCGTCGAGGTCCCGTTTCCTGGGGGGCGAGAAGCCTACAAGCGTGAGTCCCAGTCGGCCTATAATACGTGGATGGATCTGACTTTATTGCAGAGAGCCCTACCTCTCCTTAAGAATCCTGAAGTTATCAACAATCTCAACGATACAAAGCTGACGATATACTATCGAGGATATTACCCTCGCAAAGCTGTACCGGAGAGTAGGGATAAGCGTATCAAGGCTATTTGGAAGGCTATTGGGTGGAAACTTGTTTGATCTTCCACCACCACTAATTTTGTACGGGCACTATTAATCAGAGTAGCTTAGAGTTCGTATTGACTGAGCTAACTCAATGAACAATTTACTGTGGTCTCCAGGGTTGTACCTACAGAAGCAAAGTGTTTGATATCCCTCTCGACGGTTTCAGTGACCAACGCCAACAGCTTGATTCATGCTTTTCAAGAGGGCACTGCTTAATACATCCCCGGAACTTCCATCGTGTGCTAGTACACCCAAGTCTTCCACCTCTTGGTCAAGTTTATCGATATATTCGGCCGCCCCAGAGAAATTCGCGACCTTGGCACAAACAGCATGCAGGGCAAGAAGTGACTCGGATGGAACGGGAAGATTCTCGTCGTCCGGGGTGGTGAATGTTACCTCTGCCGGTAATCGGTACCAGGCATCGATAGATCGAATTCTGTAACGATTTGTGACTTCCTTGTAGTGGAAGCAGTAAGACTGCCTGCTATGATATTGGCGTAATGCTCAGTGCTCACCGTCTTCTCGAACCGGATCTCTAGGCGAGTAAACCATTCGTGGATATCGGATTGCATTGTCATGACATTGTAAAGAGGATGTACTTTTCTACCATTGAGTTCCTCAACGTCACAGTCCGAATTGCTTCATAACCGCCAACACTAAAGCGGCATAGTCAGGCTGACGGGGATAAGGTCATCAACGGTATAGAAAAATAGACGAAAACGCACCTCCTCGTTGCTCGAGTCGAGGTCGGATAGGTTAAAATATGTAGACTCTAGTGCAATGTGTGCACACTGTGTATACACCACGCCTGCTTCCCGAATTTCGTTGGCGGAAGCCGAAACCTGGGAAAGTGTGTCGTGGTGGTAGTTGCCGGTCACCACACACCGAAACCCATCTCGGACAAGAGCCTGGAGAAGGCGGGGAAACGTGAGTTCTCAACGACAGTAGCATGTACATCGCCACTTACGAGATCTTTTGCCTCTTTATGAGTTTTCGGTGCCTCCTGAATTAAATCCCTCTTGAGTTTATCACACGACGACTGGCATGACGGGTTATCTGAAGAGGCGGGTGTTCGACCTTTGAACTTCTTGACTACTTTCTTATCAAGGCTAGGCCTATTGCACAGGGTGATGGAGAACTTACAGGGACGGATGAAATAGTTGATGAAGCACTGTCCGAGGTGGGACAGCTTCGCATGGTCTCTTGCACACGAATGTATCGCATTAGCGACTTCTTGAAGCGCAGTATGGGAGGGGGAATGGATAATCAAGTAGCCCAGTGTCCTTGCGTGAATCAACGTATCGCTGTCAGCAGGGGCCGACTTCTCAAGCTCAAGGCAAATGTTATATGCGCGAATGCCATTCGTATTCAGGTCATCCAGAATAGTTACTGGAGGGAGTGCAACAGCAGGCATGATGGTAGGTCGAAAGTTGGACTCCTCGGAAAGGGGCTCGCTATAACGTTTTTCCATATTGAATTTGCCTTTGTTTGGCTCTCGAGTCTAAAGACGCTCCCGAAACGCTTGCATTCACAAAACATACTGTACTATGGCAACCACATTTTCACAAGGTGAAGTCCCCTGTTTCTCTTCGTGGCACCACCACGACATTCACAGCGACGTAACCGGGGCAAGCTGGCGTCGACGAACTCAATCCTCAAATAGAGGGACACGTTATCCTTAGCGCAGCCTCTGACATGTTAATGTGAGGAATTTTGGATCCAGATTCCAGAATATTGAACCACATCGTAGGAATGTAAGCGCTCGAATCCTGAACATGAACGTCGTAAATGACGCTTCAGGGCTACGCGTCGCTCACGTGGTCGCACCAGAAAATTAAATTGCCTGCATTATTTATGAAAATTTCTCCGGTGAACCACGACTACAAACTCACAATTGGAACATTTATCTCGTTAACAAGGAGGAACAACAGTGAGGGACTCATATTTCGTGGGGAGACATTACTCTTGCTGAGGTTCCGTTTCTGGGAGGGAGCTGTGAGTCGGATGGGAAGCGTGCAGACGACGGCTTACAGTATTTGCAGCTTGCCCTACAACTGCTCAACAATCCTTCAGTCATTGACAACCTCAACAACAACATTCTTCTTCAATACTACCAAGCTAGCAGACATACGATATTCATGGTCATTATACCCATCCGTAAATTACAATACAAGAAAAAGCGTACTTTATCAAAATCAACTCATAAAATTCTGTGCTATCATTGAAATCATTCAGACGCTCGCGACATCACTCTGCTTCTCGTCGACGACTCTGCGAGGTTCCGCGTCGTTCAGGCCCTGCGCCGGATATTTCCTCAAGAGAACCTTGAACACCTGAGCCATGATGCAGAGCGTGAGGATGAAGGCGCTGAGGACAAGAATATGAGCCAAACATAAGAAGAAGCAATGTGTAGCACTTACGTCGTAGTAGCGAAACCTTGAACATAACGCGGACCCGTCGTAGAAGGCCAGAGGAAGGAACCATAGATAGACGCGCTAATGGAACAATGAACACCACTAATGAGAGGAAGTCGACCGAAGTACGTACGAGTTTCCAAGACCGTTCACCAATGCGATGGCAACCGCACGTTTTTCCGCAGGGTGGTCGATAACACCAGACACCCACTAAAAGGGAAAAGCCAGTTAGCCTGAGTACGAAGAAGACTGCGAGAACGACTCACCAACAACGTCAAAGGACAAGCCGCATACACGCCTCCCACAGCGAAGCATAGGAACGCATACTTGACCTTCTTAGCATTGACCGCAACAACAATGATAAAACTGATCCCAGCAATCAACGACGTGAAGCTGACAAAGTTGCCTCGCTCCTTTTTGATATCGCTGAGGAAGCAGAACGTCAAGATGCACACGAGGGCAACCATGTAGATGGGGATGGTCATGTACTGCTTGGACACGCCGGTATAGCCGAGCTGGCCAACGAGGGTGGGGATGAAGTATTGAATGGTTTGCGAGCCGGTTGCGAGCATGTACATAACGGAAAGATACCAAGTGCGCCAGTCCGTCAACGCCGTTTTGAGGCACTCCTTGTGCGTGGGTTCGTCACCTACGGCTACGCTACCGATGCCATCGTGCTTGAGGCGTTGAACAGCAATGAACTAAGGAATGATTAAGTCAAACGAGGAAGAACAACAGGAAGGTATGAACCTCACCTTTTCCTCAGCAGTCAGCCATTTTGTCGTTGTCGGCCAATCGGGAAGGATCATCCAGGTAAAGAGCGCTGGAACCGGATATAATGAGCGATAAAGGACGAAGGTACAGAAACCTGAGGTGACATACCCACAAAGCACGAGCCTAGACCCTCAATCAAGAAAAGCCATTGCCATCCTTCTATACCACGAGTGATGGCAAGGTTGTCAGTGATGACGCCAGCGAGGAGTCCAGAGAAAGCGCCCTAGAAGTATGTGAGTGAAAGGTTGAATCGTGTGATATGAGGATACACACCGAGACAGCCGTAGCAGTATAGTAGATAGAATAACGCTTTGCGAGTTCATGGCGCTTGTACCACGATGACAGATAGAACGCGACACCGGGAGCGAAACCGGCCTCAATGACGCCCAAGCAAAAACGCACGCCAGCTAGTTGTTGCCAGTCCTTGATAGCAGCCATACACGATGCGACACCACCCCATAAAAAGCACAGCACGGATAGGCTAGATATGGCGCATGAGTTACAGCTCGGTACTGCGTGGAAGGGTTCAAAAAACGTACTAGACCGATGGACGGACGCGGGTGAGGATCATGTTGGCTGGTATTTCGAAGATCACGTAGGAAACCTGAAAAGGGAGAGGCGTCGTAAAGAGTGCATTCGATGATAGTAGCAAACCGACAACGTACAAAGAACAGCAGCAGGACGACGGAGTATTGATTAGACGTGAGTCCCAAAGCGGTTTCCAAACCTCCGACTTTCGCGTTACCGATGTTCGCACGATCCAGATACGAGAGGGTATACAGAACCCACACAGTTGGCACCTATGAAACAAATAGGTCAATCCAACGCTCATCAACCTATAAAACAAAGCTGACGCACAATTCTCATATCAATCTTGCGCACGAGTCTCTTCTCGGCATCACTGTCGGCTACATAGGTGAACTGCGATGTCTCCTCGTGCCATTCTTGATCCATCTTCGGCGCCATGTAGAATGTGGGGTATTCGTGTGGGTTCAGTGTGGGGAAAATGAAAATTGGGCAGTGATTTTATAGCGCGTGCCGATCATCTCCTTTTCCTGGCGCCCCTGGGAGAGGGAACTATATCTATCCGGGACGAGGGTTCTAATATAGTTCAGGTGACCATCGCGTAGACGTTTTATCCCGGAAGGGTGCCTGGGAAAATATACGAGCTGCGGCATGGACGAGTGCTTGCTCAGTATTCAAGGGCACTGGTAGGTCTGATAAGATAGACGTGAGACGTGAATTAAAGAAAAGCAGAAAGAAGATACTTACCTTTGACTCCAGGTTTCGACAGAGTCGACATGATCCTCATTTGCGTTGTGGTCGTGAAGCAGAATGACCGGAACTCGCGGTCCGTAGCATCAAGAGAAGGATATACCAATCTAGATCCTCAAGACTGCAGCAAATCTTTCTCCATCCATAGTTCCGGCGCGGGCCAAGTGGCGAAAATCAATGCATGGGGTTGACCAAGTGACTTGCCATTTGATGAAAGACTCTGGAGGACAAGAAGCACATAAACAACCGCCGAGCTTATTATAAAAGTAATCTTACCGTTATCTGTTATCTGTTAATGGACGCCATAAAGACGAACAGCTTCGTTCTTCCTCGAAGCAAAGCCCTGCCTAAGGCGCCAAAAAGCAGCTCTCGACAAAAGATCGTGCCAAACTCGCGCTTGCCAATGAATCTAGCTTGAACCGGTTTTACGGCTATTGGCACAGCTAGCGGCTTGGCACGGGTGTTAGATATGATAGAGGCTTCGATGATGATCAGGACTAAAGAGACAGAAAAGAATTCTTTCCAACATGCATTACATTCGAAAGCACGATCTTTCCGCGTTGTTGTTTTTTTGAAGGATTCAAGGGTGGAATGTAAACATCTTAGCACGACGCCGACTGATCTGTGGATGAATCAAGTACGTGCGTAGATAAAGGGAATTGAGCGTACCTCCGACAGCAACCAACGATTGTGAATCAACCCGACTTCGTTCATCACGCCTTTCTTTAGCATCCGCACCCTAACTCGTCCATCGGCACTTTCCTCAGATGCCAACCCGCCCGTGAGCTGCTTTTGCTGTGGTATCTGTGGTGTCCTTGTTCTCGCCTACGCCGACGGAGCAAGAAAGTTCGTCCTGCTCCCCGTTAGCCCCATATTGTGAAGCCCTGTCTCTTGCTGTACATTGACAAAGTCGGGCTGGAGGTGCGTTGGGCAGAAATCGCGCTTGAAAAATACGAACAAAGGGCCGCAAAGATGAGGTTCAGAACGAACTCGACATGGTCAAGGACGGCAAGACAGAGCAGGTTGGAGGGTTATAATGGTCCTGGAGAAGGCGCTGAGCATATCATCGTGTAGACATCATATGCGACGACGAGCCGACCGAGTAAAAACTGTCGCGAAGTATAAAGACCTGAGGTAAAGCCAGACTGCACACCAAGGCTTCAGCCAAACAGTTGTACACCTTTCCGCTTCCCGACGTCTCCCGACTTGCCGACGAAATCCTAAAGCTGTTTCTCAACGACGTACTTTCTATTCTGCGCGGTGGGAAAATCATTTCAGTAGGGCTCTAGAAATGGTCGGTGCTCGGACCACTAGCAACAGATACTTACTTTGGACGGTACATTCATCCCCTCGGACTCCGGAGCGGCTGTGTGCATGACTGAATCGTACAAGAGATGGTGTTCATCCCATGGCCAAGCGAGGGTACCTCCTTCCGAGAGAACTGCACTCAGGACACAGATCGCAGTTCTGCATTCTGCACACGGAGACACAGAGTGGGCGTAAATACAGAATCAAACATATATTCTTGCTTGTTGACTCCAGTGGTAAGCTTCGTGTTCGCTACGCCTGGCACTGGCAAGCTAACGACTTGATCAGACAATTGGCATCGAGAAAAGAATCCTGGTGATGACTTGTCGAGGTGCAAGGACTCGTCCTTTCAATCTAGTACCTGCCTTGGTGAGTAGAGACATCGTCTGCGTAGCACCAATGCAGAGGATTACCGTTCTTTGTCTGATAATCCCTTCATTTTGTAGGTTAGATGAGGAACTAACCCTTTGTGACCTTGATTCTTGGTTCCGGATCCAACGTTCGTGACTGGGAAAACCAGCTTATGGAACTTTTCGACTACCAGAGTTTTCTTATCACGACAAAATTCCGTAAAAACTTGTCTGGGGTACGAAGCTCATGCGGAGCGATGCTGGGCAGTGCGTCAATGTTGAAGTTTCTATGCGCGAAAAGGGCGTGAGCTGGATTCTTCACGAATTAGTCAGAGATCGTCAGACAAAAGCGCATGCGTCAGATGCAATGGATGTCGATGAAATCAAGCTTGAGGTGCCCAAAACAGCTACATCGGCTCCTGGCTCCACAGTCCAGCCGAAGCGAACCGTGGATCTGGAGAGCATGGCCTTCAGTCGGAGCGGACACCTCGTGTCCAACAAGAAGTCTAAACTTCCCGACGGCTCGTTCAAACGGACCAAGAAGGGTTATGAAGAGATCCACGTCCCGGCCCCGAAACACAAACCTATTGTTGACGGTGAACTGGTTCCCATATCAGATTTACCACCGTGGGCTCGAGAAGCGTTCACCGTTCCCAGATTGAACCGCGTTCAGAGCAAAATTTACCCCATTGCCTTTGGTACCGACGATCCCATCCTTTTTTGTGTGCCTACCGGCGCCGGAAAGGTACGCATGCTAAATTGCATCTTTACTTCGCTGTTGACTATCATTTGGTATGTAGACCAATGTCGCCATGCTCACAATCCTGAACGAACTGTCTGAGTATCACGATGAAGCTACCGGAACTTTCGATCTTGATGCGTTCAAAGTCATCTACGTTGCTCCCATGAAAGCATAGCTCCAAGAGATGGTGGGCAACTTTACCGCTAGGCTGGAAGTATTCAGTATCAAGATCGGCGAACTTACGGATGACTCTCAAATGACGAAGCAACAGATTTCTGAAACACAGATTATCGTAACCACGCCGGAAGAATGAGACGCTGTGACGCGTAAAAGCACTGACACCAGTCATACAAATCTCGTTTCGGCTGATCATTATTGATGAGCCTCACTTGCTTCATGACGAGGGTGGTCCAGTTCTGGAGCATCGTTGCTCGAACAGTCTGCTGCTCTGCCCAATTATCAGGATATCACCACCTTCCTTCGCGTCGAACAATCGAAAGGACTCTTCTACTTCGACACTTCTTATCGACCTTGCGGACTGCAGCAACAGTTTATTGGAGTCACAGAAAAGAAGGCGATCAAGCGGTACCAACTGATGAACGGAGTCTGCTACGAGAAGGCCGTCGACCAAGCTGGAACCCTGGTCTTTGTGCATCCGCGGAAAGGGACAGCGAAAACGGCGAAATTTCTGAGAGACATGGGCGGTGGAGAAGGAGACAATTACTCAGTTTGTCAAGGCTGATGGCGCTACACGGGAAATCCTAACTGAAGAAGCCAACAATGTCAAGGATTCCAACTTTCGCAATCTTCTTCCTTTCGGTTTCGGTATTCATCACGCTGGTATGTTCATTCCCTGGTGGAGAAGTTGTTTGCGGACGGATCTGCTCAGGTCCTCGTGTGTACTGCGACACTAGCCTGGGGTGTTGATCTGCCAGTGCATACGGTGATCATAAAGAGTACCAAAGATCTACAACCCGGAGAAGGGTCGTTGGGTTGAGCTGTCTTCACAGGATGTGCTCCAAATACTTGGACGTGCAGGACGGCCGCAGTCTGGCGAAGGCATCATTATCATTAACCATACCGAACTCCAGTACTATCTGAGCTTGCTCAATTGGCTGCTACCTATTGGATCTCAGTTTGTATCCACGTTGGCCGACAACCTTAATGCCGAAATCATCTCGGGACCATCAGGAATCGTGATGAGGCTGTTCAGTGGCTGGGATACACGTATCTGTAGGCTATCTTCTCGCAGATGTCTCTGCTGTTGACTAATTGTTCTCCAGTCATGTGTGAATGCTTCGCTTGCCAGGTTTGTACGACGTTGGTGTCGATTATCAGGATGACGATATCGGCTTGATTCAAAAGCGAGCGGTTCCTTGAGAAATCCGACTAATCTACACTTAGCCTTTAAGCCGTTCGACCGTCAGTCTGTCGAGAAGGATTTAATATTGTACTATGTAATGTGTTACTTAAACAAGAATATATCAGCACTTCTTAACAATACGTAGAGCCTGTAAGCGATCCCATTCTCCTTTATCAAGAATTGTGAGCACCGACACTTTCTCAAACCTTTTCTCTTGCCTTCGCCCAATGACACAATAGAAGTGACTATCGGTCGGGGAGTAGTTATAACCAAGAATCAGGGTGTAAGTGTCTTCAGGTATCGGGTACTCGTGTGCGGCTATGATCTTGAATCCATGTTCTATCCCACTCTTGTCTCTGACAATCAACTCTCCACGTCGATCACCCCCTTCCACAGCAGCCAATCCTCGCACCAACCCCTTTTCAATGAACTCCACATGACACCGGTCTTCATTCATTTCCTCATCCCGAACAATTTGGATCTCGGTGTAAAAACCGTCGAACCGAGGCTTGGTTATAACCTGGTCCCATGATGGTCTCCATTTTGCAGATGTATTTCCAGGTTCAAGGGAAGAGAGGAAGAGCTTTCCCCGACCCTCCATGTCCATCGAATTGACGAGTGCTGTCCATGCCTCCTCGAGAGATTGGCTTTCGTAGTATGCCGGTATCCAATCGGAGTCCATAAGAAATGCCAGTCCGGCGACCTTGTCCACCGGGTTGGTCGACACCCGATTCTGCATGCCCTCCAGTGCTTCATATATCAGCATGTTATCTATAGACTTTAGCTGCCTGTGAAACCTGGTTAGTAGCTCAGTCTCATAGTTCCCCTTGTTATCCACTGGTTTGGCATGCTGTGGTCCATCTGACGAATCCCTGGCAAACACCCTATCGTCCCCAACCTCCTGTAGTGTCCAAGCACGTCTAAACCACGACCGATCACTATCCAAGTCGCCTTCCTTCAAACTCAACGGCCGACCCAGCCCACTCAAGTAAATCACCACAAGGTTGTCACTATACACTGATCCGATGGTGGGTACATCTAGCTTCCACTCTTCCGAGCGAATAGCCTCCCCGGGTCCACCTACCTGTCTCAAACAGAGAACGTCCAACCACGCATACTCCTCGTCAAGATTGAGCATCTCAATGCGGACCAGGTTGAGGTTGCTGTCTTTCGGGATGGGAACAGGCCATTCATATCCATTAATGGGTGTCCACACCGCGTCCCGATCCTTCTCATCCACCCACGCATGAGAAATCGGCCGAATAGACTCATCCATGCACGTGTACCATGATGGAACCACCCGATTACTGTATAGATCCCAGACTCGTCGAGGTGGCAATCGGGGGTCGACAATCCGGTTACCAGCAAGTGCTTTTCGTCGCTCCTCCCGGTCCGCCTCTTCCCATCCACAAATTTGAGCTTGTATAGTGCTCCAGTCATCGGTGTACCATATTCGGTGAAGGCGACTATAAGCCATGCCAAAGTCGTACTGGTTTGCGATGCACTCTTCAAGTCTCAAGAAGGGAGGAGAGTGATGGTGTGTCCACGGTATATGACGTTCCAAGTATGGTGTTGAGTTGATCCAAGATGCCCTGAATGCCGAGGGTAGCACAAAGGGTGTCAGCAAGGCGGGATGATATCACAGGCTTTCTACTAGTGTACGCCCATTGCTTTGGAACAGTGATCGACGATTCCTCAAGTCCCGCCTCAGTGAATGCGGAGATGGTGACGTCAGGAAGAGAGATATCCTGGGACTGGATTATCAATTCGCACTCTGTTTTTTTACCAACAGACTTACCTCTGGTCGACGCCATAGGTCAATTACCTTCAGAGGCCATGGTCTAACAACATCAGACTTATTGGCAGAAGATGTGTCAGATCTATAATCCAAAGTGTTACTAGATGATTGTTCTTCCATGGTAGATGGTACTGGATGCGAGGGCAGTGACAATTCTGGTGTCGCCTCCAAAACATGACCAACATCTTCTGAGGAACTACCATGCTCAGGCTGCTCTACTACGCTGCGCTGGATCGTGTTGGGATTTTCGTCAAGTTCAGACGTTCTCTCAGGAATTGGACCTTTACGGGACTGCAGCCCTTTACGTGTCACATCGGGAAAGGAGGTGGAGTATGAGCGCTTCCGAATCATCACGCTAGCGAGAAGCGATTGGACCTTCGTGGTGCTAACAACCTTGTATTCAGTATTCGAAATGCGAGGGATTAATGACACATACTAGTTCCTATGTTCCAGTCTACGATGGTATGTGGTCGAGGGAGTGCTCAGCGAAAGGCAGTTCGGTGTGTGCACCAGCGCTCTTTCTGAACAGGAATTTAGACGCTTTACGAAATCCGCAGATGATCAAACCAGGAAATAACTTGCCAGTGATGCCAAAAACCAGGCTCTGTTGACAAACACTTAAATCATTTCCGGGTTAGCGGTATACACTATCCATTCTACCAACTCATCCGCTAGGATTCCTCGCGTTGTTCTTGGTCCCCCCAACAGCTCCCCTTGGGTTTTGTCCTCGATATGGATACGATTGACGTGTCTATCCAATGATGTATAACGGAGCTTTAAGATCGGAAACAACCCCATGATCGCCCTGCACGAATGACAGTCGGTTTGGCCACTACTAATAGGCACAAGCTTTCAGTAGGAAACTCAATACCTACCACGAAAACTCACTTTGCGGGGAGGTTAGAAGAAAACAGCCTTGTAAATCGAAACCTAAGTCCTTCCTTTACAAAAAAATAAATGAAAATGTACGTACGAGTCAATTGTGGGAAATAGCTACTTTAGTCAGCTTTCGTTGAGGTTCAGGAGGACTCCGCGCTCGGACCGGGTGCGCTTTCTCCGTCCACGTGTTGAGTAAACAAGCCGACGGCCTACTGACAGTTGTTCACCGGCACATCCAGCATCGATGCACGCCAGGAGATTCGACAGGACTCTACCTGTACTCTTTAGGACACGTATTCAAGATGCGACCTGAGTCTGAGTATTGCATCACGTTTCGTCCCCTTCATGTTTGGGAAGGCAAGTTATCCTTCTTGTTTGTGGTAGAAGCTCATTTCCAACGCTACACACAGTGCATGATGCCAAGTACAGCCTAGCTGTTACGGTTTATTCATTTCTTTCTTTTCTTTTTCCTTTTCTTATGTATTCATGCTTACCCTATGGTGCGATTTCTATCGGATGATTCCCACAGTACTATTTTTAGCCTAGTTATCATGTATTTAAGTGGTGCCTCAGCTGGTCTAAACCCCAGCTTCGGCTAAGGTTTAATCTACCCAACATTGAACTCCTTGTTTCGCGTCTATTCTGTTTGCAGTTAACTTGACTGTTCGCCTTTGACTTACTAGAGTATCGCCTACCGAAGTGCGAGTAGCGATCCTAGTTCGATCTAAGTCGATTCGAGTTGGTTGCTAACATTTAGCTGAAGCTCGTCCTACGTTGCCCAGCGCCACGTCTGAGAACGAACGCTGCCCAACCTCTTACAAGAACTATATCCAGCTAGACTGAAAGGTCGCTAGGCAGCACCTAGATGATAGTCGGTGCCCATCGATCATCCCGGATCTAGCAAAACTCCCTGCTCGATCAGAAGAGGTCATCGCCCTACGTTCGGAAGGACAGTCTTCGTGACTGTCAGCGTACGACGAGTGGACCAATGGTCAGGCACTTACCAACATTTACCCCATTATCATCATCGCTGCAGCGACCATCTGGGTCCTGCCTCTTGTGCTACCAGACCCGTTAATCCTAGCCCTAACGCTGGTTGGAACGGTCCTCATTATCGTTAGGACCATCATCCCAGCTCCAGTCCTAGCGACGATTCTGGTAATCCTTTACATTGGATATCTCCGCATTTGATTACCTTTTCGACAACCGTCCTGAGACCCGTCACATATCTCCTCCGACTCGCCTCGTTGTTAGTGGTCTTACTACTGACAATAAGGAGTCTGGATCCTCTTTCCGCAGACGAAGAATCTTGGATGACCACCGAGGCAGTTGCCGTCACCTACTGAAACTGACCTCAACCTGATCATCGCAGTACTCGCTGCACTCACCATTCTTGCATTATCCGTCGTATGGTCTTCAGTAGTCATCGGACCTCTCCGAAAATAAGCCCTCGAACGGATGCCCTTATCCGACTGCCATTCCTGCCATCTCCGCCGTTTTTATTCTCTTTTTCTTGTCCATCTTCTTGTACCAAATTCACCGGTGTTGCCGCCAACAAAGGAGGGTTCGAGCGCAACTTCCATTTCACTACGTCCCGGCCACCCTGGCATATCCACCACCCGTAATTTACATTCCCTGCAGCCTCCCAGCAAACTCTACACGATGGCCGACCCATCACACCCAGAGGACCTGGAGAGTCCCTTTATGGATCGTCACGATCCAGCTCAGGATCCTCAGGGTCGAGCATCGACTCCTACAGAAGCGCCACCAGCCGAGTCAGTCGACATCACAGATACCCGGGGTGTACTCTACGAGCGAGGAGACTCGCCCCTACCGGGCCTCTTCGACCAGTCTGCAGACGACCGAGAGTCAGGAGAAGAAGGAGGGCATGTGGAGCCGAGCGAAGAAGAAGATGATACCGAGTTCGAGGGAGACGAGCTCACCTGACATCGAAAGGATCCAACTCCAAGACCTCCTCGATGGCCTCGTCACAGAAAACGAAGGGGATGAGGACGATTCCGGAGTCCAAGGGATTGACCGGCAGAGAGGCTACTACGGAGGCAGTAGCTATGACGAAGATCCCGGAGAGCTTGCCCTTGGGGCCTCCGCCGCGACTACCGCCCGTACAAATGGAGCAGGGACCACTCGACCTAATTGGCTGACAAATAGAGGAGCACCAGTCGCCTGGTACCCCAACACCAGTTGGGTCTATGCCAACGATGGGGAAGAGGCTCCTGTGGCCAGAATCCTGACCGAGGGAACAGTCAATGTCCCCCCCACTACAACGACTGATCCGGTCACCACCACTGTCGTCAGGCCTGAACCGACGGATCAGCAGTTCTGGGATGAGTTCCCGAACTATGATTCAGAGGAGCTTGGAGCGATTGCCGGTGCCGGAGAACTCGCCTGAGTCCCCGATTTTACCCCGTCAGTTGCAGGTCGAGCATTCGCCGACCCCGTCCCTATCAACCAGCATCTGTGGCCCCTTCTTTACCACACGCTCGTCGAGTCTCTCCGACTCCCTCGAGATGCCCAGGATGCCCCAGAGATCCAGGCCCGACTGGACTGAGCAAGAGTGAATGATGCACGCATCCGCCGAGCCGAAATCAACGCCCTCCATGGACCCAATGGACTTTGGGACCTCCCCCTCGAACCCGACGCAACCCCAGCCGAGGTCGAGCGGAGAATGGGAACAGCAGCCCTACGATACTCAGGGGCAGTCGAGCGAGCAGGCACTGACCTGGAAGCCAGAAGAAGAGCCTGGAACTCCTACCAGGCCGAGATCACAGATGAGGACTCAGATATCGGACGATGGAGGAGAGACCAGGAGATCGACTGACTCGCCCGAGAGGGGGAGGCAGCCAAGGATGCCCCGCCGACCCCCGAACCAGAGCCTCGAAAAGACGGTGATGGACACGGTGAAGATGGTCCTCCTTGATCAAATTCCACCGAGGTCCTGCCATCTTCGACCTCCTCCCCTGGCACGGCTTATATGAAATTATGATGGAGGACATGGAAAAGAACCCGCAGTGGTTATTCACAGAGGCAGGAGAGGACTACCTGCAGGCTAAGTACACAGGGGACGTGTACTTGATGAAGAACATCTTGGAGGTGGAGACCTGGCATCGGGCGGCGAAGGTGTGGAACCGGGTCAACCCTGACAATCCCCAGTGGGGGTGCGAGGCTTATCGTCGTCCGCAGCCGATGCCCCACCCTCTGGAAATGGCGGCGTTCGCCGCTGGTGGGGGAGGAGACGATGACGGGTACGCCGACGAAGGTGCAGGACCTTCGCGCCCAGACAAAGGCAAGGGGTCCACGGTACCACCCTCAGGACCGCCGCCTGGACCAAGGCTTCCCTGAAACTTCGGAGGGTATCCCCCTCCCGGGGACAACCGAAACTTGCGGTCCCTTTCGCGGCCACCAAAACTGCCAGTACCGCCGACACCGCCGTCCCCACCAGACCCGATTCCTCCCTGGCAACTAGCTGCCGGAGCGACCAACAATCCGTGGAATGACATTAAACCCAAGCTGGTTACTCAGCCAGAGTACTTCACAGGAGTGTCCTCCGACATCACTCGATTCCTCCACCACTGCGAGGTGTACTTCCAGGTGTTCCCGATGTACTATACGATGAACAGTCAGGGACAGAACCCCTACCGAATCACTTTCGCACAAGGATACCTATGAGGGGAAGTGCAGCAATGGTGGGTCGATCAGTACTATCGTTACCGGGACCAGAACGGGCACTGGAGGTTCCCAACGTGGGCGGAATTCTCGCACGACCTCACGGTCCAATTCCGCGAGGTAGCGGAGCTAGCAATTTGGAAGCAGGAGTGGAAAAAGATCCGTCAGTCGGACTTCAAATCTGCCATGGAGTTCTTCGCGAAGTTTGAAAGGTTGGCCCACAAGTGCGAGGAGTTCGGAGACGAGAAGCAAATGTTCGAAGCGGTGGAAGCGGCAATACGACCAACGGTCAGGAACACGGTTATGCATGGGGACAACGAGCGCCCCACAACCTATGCCGAATGGAAGGCGCGCGTCCTGAGGATCGACGCCAATTACCGATATGGAGTCGCCCAGGGATTGGGCAATAAGTCCTCCCAGAACCAAGGAGGTTCGGGTCGAGGCAATCAATCTGCACAGAAGGGAAGCGGTGGCCAGGGCTCAAGTGGCGATAAAAAGAATGCTACCGGGACCACTTATGGTGGAGCCGGACAGCCAATGGAGATCGACAAGCTGCGGAGCGATAAGCGGTGCTTCAAGTGTGGGAACACTGGGTGGAACCGGGACCATAAATGCCCGACGGATAAGTCGAAATGGCTTCCCGTCAAACTCCCACCTCGCAAGAAAATCCCCACTCAACGACTCCGCCAATTACTCGCTGAGGCTGAAAAAGAAGAGAATGGAAAGGAGATGAAAATCGAGGAGGTCAAGGACGATAAGTTGTCAAAAGACGAGCCGGCGTCGAAATAAGCGATTCGATGATGTCGGCCGAGGACTTAGTTTCATCTGGTGTGCGCTCATGTACTTC